TACCACGCCGGGCTTGGTCTTGGGCGGTGACTGGAGCGACGCCGCCGCGCGCATCTTGGCGGCATTGGTGGGCGACGATGTGGAAGCGCTGGTGCTAGTGCTGTAGCGCATCCGAGCACTGCTTCCTCCTCCTCCGGAATTAAACATCTGATGAGAACTGCGCGATTCCTTGGATCGATTCGATGGGTCCTCGCTGACAACATCCAGAGAGATTTCGGAGCGTTGCCGATCCCCTGCTCGTCTTCTTCTTCTTCACGGGATTCATTCACAGACTCGCAAGCCCGACGCGAACGACGAGACTTACCGATTGATGATGCGAACCGCCGCGTCTTAACTGTAAGAATGTCCCAGTCCCGTGACATTGCTAGAACTCCGTACCAACGAACACGTACGGTATGCCGTTCAAAAAACTTTTACGGAGGGAAAAATGTATTTACAATCGGCTACAAAAGAGGCTCTCTTCGTTTTTCGTTCGTTTTCCTCTCATTGTTTTCGGTTTCTCGTCATGGACTGGAAAGTCGGCCTCCCATTGACTCCATGCCGGTGCCGTTTTGCACCAATAAGTCGTAATTGATGGACGCGAGCTGCGAGAGGTTCTGAAAATTTGGTTTTTCCACCGCGGCAGTGAGATGGAGATGAGAGTTGGGTGAGAAAATGGAGTGGGGGATGGAAGAAAAATGGGAGAGAGAGAGAGAGGGAGAGTCTCGCATACCTTGAAAGAGAAGTTGCTAAATGTGACGTGGGAGAATGATTCAAACTCGGTGAGCTCATGGCAATCGTCATCGGCCTATAGCAATGGAAAGCTATAAGAAAGAGTGTAAAGATTTGCTTCGCTTACCTCGTCGCCAAGCTTGTTTTCAAACAAGTCCATGCTGCAGGTACTCCCGAATGAATCCTCTTCCTCGATGCTGTCCATGGACCTGGACCTCGAGTTGAAGTAACTGGTATCATGCTGGTCACTCGGGCATGGAACGAATGCTGCCTGTTATCACAGCGAAACGAAACGCCATTAGATTGAAGAGATTGCTTTCTCTTGTACCTTCTGTTGCGCAAGCATGTCCCATTTCACATCCTTGAAAAATGGATGCGCCTTCACCTCTCCGGCACCCCGGTAACCCAAGCGTCGTTTTGGATCATCGGTGAGGAGCCTGTGTAAGTTTCGTTTCTGAGATGGAGGTCTGGTGTATTGAGCTCATACCTGTTTATTAGATCATAGGCGTCATATGATACATCTTCCGGGACTCGCGGCCAGGAAATCTTCTTGTTAAGGATGTTGTCGAAGATGATCTGCAGAAAGAGCGTTATAATTGACAAAATGATTCCTCGGTAGGCACCTGAGGATGCTCGGCATTGAATGGAGGAACACCAGTGAGAAACTCGTACAAGATAATCCCAACAGACCACCAGTCGGCGGCATGGTCTACAATGAAAACAACAATCCGTAAGAAAAGTGCTATCAAAACAATACAATGAAAACGTGTCAGTAAGAAAAACGTTACCATGTTCAGTTCCCAGCAAAATCTCAGGGGCCAGGTAGTCAGGCGTCCCCACAGCTGATTTTAGCTGATTATGTTCCCTATCGTCATTCATAGCAATAGCAAGGTCGTCAGTGCTATTGATAAGACCCATTCTTGATAAACCGAAGTCGGTCAGCTGAAAGCACAATTTTAGTCACTTAAAAACCACCATTCACTTACTTTGATATGTCCATCGTGCGCAATCAGTATGTTCCCAGGCTTCAAGTCTCGGTGTACAACTCCTAAAGAGTGCAGATACTCTAGTGCCAGGACCTGTATATAACGTCACAACAAACTCAGGGTCTTTCTAACTACGTACGAGCTCAGCGATGTAAACGCGTGCCATGTCCTCCTCAAGGCATCCCATACTCATGAGCAATGAGTATAGATCGCCCCCGTTCAGGTACTCCATGACTAAGTAAAGGTTCTCGCTGCATGTGAAAGAATAGAAAAAACGGACCTACAAACCAAATGTTAGGCAGGGTTTGAGACGTCAAACTTGTGAACTTACCACAAATGGATTTCGAGCAGAGATGAGGATGTTGCGCTCGGCCTGAACACTCCGTACGGCATTTTTTCGTATCATGTCAGATTTTCGAAGAACCTGATTAAAGCGTAACAGATTTTTTTTTTTAAATCTACGAATATAAATGATAGCTCCAGACCTTGACAGCAAACAGATCACCAGTAGTCTTTTTTCTGGCCAAAAACACCCTCCCAAACGCGCCACGACTGATAGGCTTGATAATTTCGAAGTCCTCAATGCTGGTTCTGTGCTTACAAGGTAAAGGTGCAGGTTCCTTTGATACACAGTCATTATGCTCACAAGCTTTAGAAGCTTCCAAGTACTTTTGCCTGCAACAGCATTTTCAGTAGCTCCAACGAACGCTACATCAACACAACGAACTTACCTGACAAGAGATCTTATTCTCTCTCCATATGTAATTGCCGTCAAACCTTCGGCCTTACAATCATGAAGGATTTTTTCAACGTTCTGAGTGCAAACACTCAAATGTTCCAGAGCAGACTCGTCTAGGACGTTCACTCTTGCGACACATCTAGCAAGATATGCCAGTTCTTCAATCTGCGTGTAGAGAAGAAACTTTTATCACGAGCAAAGAAAATATAAATGTTACCTCGTAGACATCATCGGCTTCCTCCATGGAACCAGAGGAAAACGGAGACCGGGGAGTGTTATCGTCCGTTCGCTTAGGAGACAAACTGTCACCTTCTGCCTGGCTTTTCGGCGAGCAAGTCTCTACGACTTTTTCCAAAGTCTCAGCGAGTCTGTTTAACCTGTCATCGAACCCCAGCTTGTCATGATCGCACCGATCAGCAGCCGCGCATACACGCGAATGTCCTTCAAAGAAAAACGCTGGAACCCGTAATTCACATATCCGGCAAACAAGCCCGTTGCTTGACTGCTCGAGTTGACGAGAACCATCTTTCGCTGTGTTTTCATCTTGGTTTTTGTTGAGGACCCTGTCTTCAAGCTTTAACAACTTCAGTGTTGCCGGACAGGACCGCGAATCCTTTCCATCCGTTGCATCAGCGATGGTGTCGGACTTTGGATGTCTCGGAAACCTGTTCAGGCAGCCATCCTTGTTCAGACCGTTTTCGTTCCGGAACTGGAGCAAGCGAGTACAGCGTGTGAGGATGAAGAGAATGCGCGTGAAAAGCTGCTTCAGCAGACCATTTGACTGTTCTTGCCTCTTCTCATCGAGCGCCTGGACCACACGCTCACACTGCTGCTGAAAGTCGAAGGGCGTCATCGTAAGACATGCCCGGGCCACAGCCAGCAGCTCTTCGAAGTTTTTCTCTTCCCCGGGAGGCACGTCTCCTGTCCGCAGAATCTCCTTTAGCTCTAGCTCAAACGCCGCAAGCTCTGCATTTACTTCCTCCTTTGCCAAGTTGAATTTTTCACGTAAAGCTGAGATGATTTCCTGAAAAGGTGGTGTAATAAAGAAGAACAAAAAGAACAAAAAAAGAAAGTGCACACCAACCTCAACGTCGTTAAAGCTGTGAGGCCGCCAATACATGTTTGCGTGTAGATCTTTTGCCTCTACCTCAAAGCTCTTGTTGAGGCTTCGTAGCTTGGTCTTCTTTAAGCCGCTCGTAAGCTGTAGCAGCGCTTGAAACCTTGGAGAATCAGTATCCTTCCCAAAATCGGAGATGCGGGGACTCTATAAAACCGGAACATAGATTTTAGCTAATTTGGAACTTGAGAAAAAAAAAAAAGAAAGTAAGCCGTACCTCAAACCCTGTGGAAGAACACTGCTCATTCTTTCCGGCCGATGCTCCTATAGGGACAAAATAGAATTCGATATACCGAATTATACTTTACTTCGCCATACCTGGAGACAGTGATGCGATCGCCCGCGGCAGAGGAGAGGGCGAAATATTCTCATTCTCGGGAGGTGGAGATTGCTCCGACCTGAGTTTGAGAGGAGTCAGAGGCGAAGCTCGAGGCGGGGATTCATCATCCGGACCTTTGGGAGGAGCATCGATCCGATCACCGCTGGGAGTCGCGGATTCCTGGCTCTGCCTGACCAACTGCCGCATCAAACTACTGATCATTGCCGCCAAGAAGCCTCATTGAGCGAAGATTTCCATCAATCCCCCCCCCCCCGGCGACGCACGCAATCGCAATGAATCGCCGAGAGGCCAAAACAAGAAAAGCCCCAGCGCCGGCGCGAGCCCGATCGCGGCGAGGAATCCGTGCGGCAGAGGAGAAATCAATCCCTCCGCGGCGGCGCGGCTGGGGATCTGGGATTACCGCCGCCTCCTCTTGATCGATCTATGGCGCCATTGATCCCCAGAGACGAAAGAATCGCTCAGGGGCTCGCCGCCCCCGCCCGTTGAAACAGTGCACGTCATCACGCCCACCTCCTAGTTTAACCGCAGTGAGACCTAACCGGACGGCGACGTGGCGCGCTCCCGGCCGTTGGGGCCCATGGTCACAATACATCCGTGCCATCGGATCGCATTAAATTCGTTATCTTCGTTTTCAAAAATATTTACCATGGCGCCAAGCTAAGCTCATTCTTTTAGAATATTCTCTTTTTCCCCCTCGCTCACTTTGCCCTAACTCTATTCGAATTTTTAGGGCAGAGGGGACAGTTTCACAAATGGCGCCCAAGAAAGCAGCTCCTGGTAAAATGCTTCGATCTTCCCTCCATCCGCGCGTTTTGCTAATCCATGGCTCCAGCGCCCGTGGAGCCCGTGAAGAGCACTGGGAAGTTCTACTATCCTGGCGGCGGGACTTATGGTAAATTCTTGCTCAATTCTCGCAGTCCGCGATGATTGATTCGATCATCGATTGTTTCTTTGCAGAAGGAGATTGGATCTTGCAGCCGCCGCTGCCTCCAGTGCCTGGCGCGCCGCCGCCGGCCGATCCAGCCGCCGCAGGTATTCCCCCAATTCTCGACAAGGAAGAACTTTGGATGCTTTCTATAACTTCGATGTTTCTTCTTACAAGGTAGATAAACCCAAGCGACTTCGCGATGGGAAAGGCCACTACATCGATGGCAATTACTCCTACGAGGGAGAATGGAAGAACGATTTGATGCACGGCCCAGGTAGACGAGGCGAGAAAATTTATCAGAGTTAACAAGTAGATGACCAACAGGATCATTCAAGTATGCTAGCGGTGCCTCGTACGAAGGGACCTGGGAGAATGGCAAGTATCACGGCAATGGAACTTTCAAGGTAGAGTTCTTCGTCCACAAACTCTCTCTTTTCTCTGAGAACTCGCACTGGATCAAAGTGGCCAGATGGAAGATCCTACGCTGGTGAATGGCGAGAAAACCGGATGCACGGGATCGGATCTTACGTTGACAACGAAGGCCACACTTGGACTGGCCAGTTTTTCAATGGAGCTGGTCCGGGGCTCAATTGCGAGCTCACTTGATCGTCATGTTGGCTGCTTTTCCTGTCAATCGAGATTCGTTTTACAATCGTGACAGTTACCTGTGTTTTCAAGCAGTGTTTTCCTATAGTAGAGTACACTCTTGCGAGATTCTTACGAAATGTAGGCCTTGTGAACTTCGCTCATGCTGCAAACGTAGCCAGTCTTGGGGCACGTAATCTTCCCTTCGGCTCGGATCATTTCGTCCAAGGCCTGTGTGGACATGGAGTAAAGTTTTGACTTGTAGAAAAAGGAAGACGATGACACGAAAGTGATGAACGAACCTTTTTGCTGTAGACATAACCATTTGGTAGAACAAGTGGAGGATTGTCTTCGTCCATAAGTTCCTTGGTAATGTAGCACACGAGCTTTGAGTGAATGTGCTTTGCGTATGGAAGTGGCTCTGCGAGCTTGCGGATGTTTTCCTGTGACAAAGGGTCTTCCTTCGTGCAGCTTTCTTCGTAGCAAAATCTGGAAGGAACAAAGATTAGATCTTTAGAGAAAAGGCAGAAAGCGGATAGATATAGATCACTTACGGCGTCTTAAGCGCTGATAAACCGGCCTGCATATGTAAATGTAGAAGCGGCTCGTTGGTCATTCCGTAAAGCTTGTAGAATTCTTGCTTGAATTGCTCGACAAGGCTATCCCATTGACTGTCTTCGAAGAAAGCCTGCACAAGTTGAAATTACAAACGATGAGAAAGTTGGTCAAGGAAGCGGGATACGCTAGACGAAGGAAAAATACCACGCTAGACCTTATAGCCCGCACAATCGGTACTGCTCTTAAAAGCAAGCGTTGCCATAGCCTGCTGAAGCTCCTTTAGATTAGTGCTACCCCACGGAGACAAGAACTTGCGAGCGTAGATAATTGCGTCCATCATGCGTTCGCTTCGAACCAGTTCAATGAATTCCTGTAGTCTCAGTTTGAACTCAAGCTTGCTCTGTAAAGCAATCGCTGGTAAGTTGGTCAAAGAAGCAAGAATTGCATACCTTATACTTCTTTAGTTTGGACTTGTTCTCGATGCACCATGCCAAGGCCTCGGAACAGTCTTTTTTGCGGAGTGATTCGATAACTCGGTGCGCATCTACAAAAATATCGGCATCGCAAAGTTCCTGAAGATGAGTAGCTTCAGTATAGCCATAGCCAACTCCTTAATTTTCTCAGTCGCGATCTGAGAGAGTGAAGGGTTCTTACCTGGATGTTAGAAGATTCCGTGAGCAACTGGGCCGTGCTATAGTAGCAATTGCGAAGTAAGTAGTCGACAATGATCCTGTCGACCCGCAATTCATTCCATTTCTTCTGGCAATCTTTGTCCCCGTCGCGGAGCATCGTTAAGTGATCCATTCTCGCTCGGCATCTCTGGACCTGGACGTGCTCGAGCTTGTTGCTCTCATCCAGCTGCGAAGAAAGATCAGATCAATCCATCCAGACGAAACCAAAGCAAACCTTGCGTTTGAGGCCTTGGAGACGTGAGACGAGCGACGTAAGCTGCTCCACCGCCTCTTGTTTGGAGAGATTCTTATCCACAGCCACGGCGACCCCAGCGACCACGGCGTTCACCTCCTTCTCCACCATCCTGGTACTCGCCCGGAGCGATTTCTTGAGGTGCTCGTAGGGAACTCTCACGAGCTGGTGCTCCAACTTGAGAGATTCCAGGCTGCGATCGTTGCTGGCGCCCCGCGCCGCCGAAACCCCTGGATTCCCCCCGGCTGCGAACCCGTTGACGACAATCCTATCGCCCTCCATTCGCGACACCAAGCCACCACTGCGCATTCCCTGCCTGCCTGCTCACAGCTCGCAAGAAAATGGAATTCGCAAACCTAGTCTCGAAGAATTGGAACCCCCCTGACGATGGAGAAGCGCCACGCGCCGCCAGAGATGAGCAAAGCAGAGAGAGAGAGAGAGAGAGACGGAGCCTTCCCGAGATCCCCTCTTCAGGGATCAGCCAGACAGAATATGCCCTACCCCAAGGATCGCGACGCTAGAAGCATATTCCTTCCAGGCTCCGCACGAAGATAACCTAAATTCCGGTCACACGAGGCAGCTCGCTGGGACGACGCTGCCGGATGAAACACCGAACGCATTGGAGCAGCTTGCCGAGGCTTGAGCTCCCGAGCTCTGCGTGAGATTGATGTCGTGGAGGAGGAGATCAAGGCAGGGAAGCGAGGCACTGCAATCGAAGATCGTGGCGATGGCGGTCGCGGAGGTTCCCCGGATGTGAAGATACTCGACGCTCTTCACCTGGACGGCCGATCCCTGCGAAAGAATTGCAAGGATCGATGAAATATCGCGAAGAAAAAGCTCTACCTGTGGCGAGCAGGGGCGCAGCGCGTCGCAGTAATTCTGATCGATGATGATGGGATTCGCAACGCCGCTCATCGATACATTCTCGAATCGGATGTTGCTGGCGCTGCCGCGGCCTCCCTGCCGCGATCAAAATCGATATTTCAGCCCTGATCTATGCAATCGATCGATCGATCGATGGATCGGAGACGCCAAAATCCCCAAACCCTACATTTTACCTGCCATGTCTTGATCCTCAGCCCATTCATGGTTCCATTTATTTGCAGGCGATGCACAAGAACGCTGGAAACATAAGCTGCGCTTTCTCCCTTCCCAAGACTCCCAATGCTGCTAATAAATCTCGCTTATCAGTCACCAATACGTGATTAATCAGCACTAACCTGATGCCATGGCCAGGGCCACACTCGCAATCCCTGATCACGACATTGGACGACCCCGATCCAATCGACACACAATCATCGCCTGGGAAAAAAGGTGTGATTCGTACGAAGCCCTAAAAGACATTTTGCCGTACTACCTGTGCCAATGGCCGCGTGTTCTATTGTCACATTCATGGACGATTCGATGTGAATGCCGTCGGTGTTTGGACTATTTTGTGGATTCTCTATCCTTATTCTCGCGACGATCACGTCGTGGCATGACACGAACGCGACGTTCATCTGCTGGCTGTTTTGGATGCGAATGCCGCTCAAGTTTAGCCCCGTCGATCCAAACACCCACAATGCCTGCGCAAGGATACATATAAGATAATCTCTTGAAGTTTCGATCGAGAGCTTCGGGAGATCATAGAAAGGAGATTTACTGTTGGGGCATCTTCGTCGTTGCATCCCTGTGAATATATGATAGATATGTATATCAAGGATCTGAATTCGTATGACTAGAAACTTACAGGAGAAGGGTTATGTTTGCAAGAGATGTTCCACCACGTTTGACCCCGCCCATCAATCGTCCCGATTCCAGTGATGCTAAAACTCGTGAGCTTGACGATGGAGATCCACGAGTTCCTCTGCCCAGGCTCGTATTGATCCGGGCTCCCGGGAGCTACAATGGTTCCATCGATCTTGACAACCAAGTTAATTAGAATTTGGAGAGCCGTTAATCTGCTTGATGATTTGAGCAATCACCTGCATTGTCATGTTGGATTTGCATGGTCCTTTGAAAGATGCCGGCCAGATCAAGAAGGTGAATGACTGTGGGATGAGAAAAACGGAGTCCTCCACCAAGCAAGCAGCGTCCCAAGCATCTAGGAAGGCCTTTAATCCTCCTAATTTTCGTGACTAATCTCGTGCTGACTGAGGTTTGACTCACCTGAGTATCGTTTTGAATTCCATCTCCCCGGGCGTTGAATTGCCTGACATTGAATACGTTTGGTTCTCCGGAAGAAATCATATTTGTACGAGCGGAATCGAGACTCGGGAAGATCACAAAGATCGTGAGGAGAAACTCCCACATTCCCTCAAACGCATTGTTAATCTGCTCGAATTCTCGCGCATTTTAAACTCGCGAGCTTTTGGATTGTCCTCTGTTGGCATTTGGCCGCCGATTACATTACATTTTAATCGCGCGCTCGAGCTCGAGGGTGGCCGAGAATTGGATCTTCTCAGCAGCAACTTCTTCACGGAATGTCCGAGCTAGAAACATGACAAGAGGAAAAGGAAAAGATTCCTAAAGCACCATGGAAACATCCAGCGAATAAAAGTATGGAAGAATCCTTCTCGATCCGAATTTAAAGCCTTGACCTCTCGACCAAACCGCATTGACCTCTATGATTCCTTGAGAGGAACCAAACAAAAATTCTCACCACCTTTTCTTACTAGCGTAACTCATGAGATTATAACTCTTAATCGTACAAATCTTTCTCCTATAGTCACTTTCCTCCAACTACTTGCAAGAATTGAAACAATAAAAACAAGATGTGTGAATAGCGAGCGAGTGAAACCTACGTATACCAGCCTTGCTCATCAAGGAAAAGCGCTCATAAAGCTTCCACTAACGCGCCCATTGATCCTGCCACGATACTCTAAAGATTCCTCGTTCGATCGATCCCTCCCATCTGCCAATTCGTTAAAGCTTGGTCTTGTGCGAGCACTTGAAATCCTGGACGTTCCGGCTGGCCACGGAGATGGTCACATTGCAAACCGAGGTGGACGTAGCATGGCGCTTGATAACGTTGAGAACGTTAACCCGGCCCGAGACGACGGTCCGGGTGGAGATCGGGATGGAGCCCGAGGCCACGTCCGGCAAGAGATTGGAGTTTCCAACGATTTGCATCGCCTGGATGCTAACATCGGTGGGGAATTTCTCGCGGCCGCGCGCTCCAATCTCCCCTGCTGGGATCCTGGCGTTGCCAACCTCGTCGCCGTGGTACGTGATCACGCTGGTGGAGTTTGTGTACTTGAAGCTCGCCCGGTTTGGATTGTAGACCGACACCCACATCGTGAGGCCGAGCTCCAGCCGCGGGGACAAGAGATTGAGCGAGACGTTGAAGGATTGGAGCTGGACCGAGTCGATCGAGATGACGGGGCTCTTGGGCTTGAAGACGGTGAGCGCCAGGATGAGGAGGAGGATGCCAATCACCACCAGCACCGCCAGAGTGATCCCGCCGCACACCAGGCATTTCCTCCTCCGGCTGTAGCGCTTGCTCCTGCCATCGCTGGGCGGGCTGCTGTCGAGCTTGGAGTGGGGGCCGAATCCATTCCCATTCGTCGCCATGGATCCTAGGATCCTCTCGATCGATGAATGCGCGCTTGCTTTTTCGCCTGCTATTTTCTCGCGAGCTAATGTCTATCTATACGAGGGACGGGCATCGATCGATGGATGGAGAGGAGCAATGCGTTAATCTCTTTTTGTGTTACCTGGGCCGGCGAGAGGGAGGCAGCAGTGGCAGTTTTATAGCGGGCAGCAAAGACGCCATAGCCAGCGGCTGGGCAGAGGCTTCACACACTCTCTGTGTTGTACAGAGGAGGGAGGAGAGAGAGTGTGTGTGTCACTTTCCCATTTCTCTATTTGTCGTCCGGGCGCCACGTCAGCGCCGGATTTGTGCTACTCGCGGACCGCCAGATCATTTCTTTTTTCTCCTCGGGTGGGTGGGATGAAATAAATGATCGAGTTGCGGTTCTTGCGCGTTGGCAAGAATATGCTCGAGAATATTACCGTTTGACCGGGTTATGGATTAAGGCGATGCGTGATTAGTGTGTAGTATCAGAGTGGCGCAGCGGAAGCGTGTTGGGCCCATAACCCAAAGGTCGGAGGATCGAAACCTCTCTCTGATAAATATGCCCAGTGAAGGACAAGGCGGCTTGTACTTCTTTTTGTGAATTTCTTCTTCTGCGGGTAGGGCAAATGATTTTTTCTCCACGGCAGCAACAGGAACGCGGATTGGGAGCGAGGGAGCGGCGAAATCTCCAACTCGAGCGCGGGATTTTTCTCGGCCATTTCGCGCAGGCATGCCTCGGAACCGGGCCGATGGCGCTGGCGGCTCGTCGATGGAGCTGCATTTCTCGCAGGATTTTGGAATCGACGTGGAGGACGATGGGGAGGAGCTCGCCGGGAGGGAATTGGCCGTTCCAGGCGGCAGGCACGAGCATCTACTCAAGTCTGGATTGCTGGGGCGCTGCGATGATCCATTTTGCACGACCTGCCCTTCGTATATCGATTATTCGGCCGGCAGCCAGGTAGAGCAAGAAGAATTCTTTAGGCTTGATTTGATTGAGACTTAGCTGTGAAAGAATTCCAGATGAAAAAGAGTCGCAACCTTTTCAGCGAGGCTAAATCGGTAGCGCTCGGGATTGTCAAGTGGAGGCCAGCGATTTATAATCCCCACACCAAAGTCATCCAGAGATGGAATCAAGTGTTTGGAGTATGCTGTCTCATCGCCGTCTTTGTGGATCCTTTGTTCTTCTTTATATTTTCCGCCAAGCAGGTAATATCTATGCGAAGAAGCAAAAGCTTTATACTCATGCTTATCTTGTTCATTCTCTAGGGATACTTTTGCATTGTCTTCAACCAGGAGTTAGCCATTGGAGTGACTATTGTGAGGAGCATTTTTGATGGAATTTACTTTATACACATGCTTCTTCAGGTATCTTGTTCTTAGCTTTTTTCCTTTAATTTTCTCGATTGATAGAACACGCTGTTTAATGGATGGCAGTTCAGATTGGCGTACTTTGCGCTTGCTTCTCAAACATCTGGAACTGGTGTTTTGATTGACGATCCCAAAACTATTGCCTTGCATTATTTGCAAAGTTGGTTTA